GAAACAATAAAAAAGAAATCAAGAAGGCATTGCTATTTACAATAGCTTCAAAAACATTCAAATATCTAGGAATAAGTTTAACCAGGGAGGTGAAAAATGTCTGCAATGAAAACTACAAAACACTGATGAAAGAAATGGAAGAGAACACAAACAAATGGAAAGAAATACCATACTCATAGATCAGAAGAATAAATATCATTAGAATGACCATACTTCCCCATGCAGTCTATAGATTCAATGCAATCCCTAACAAAGTATCAGTGTCATCTTTTACGGAAATAGAAAAAACAATCATAAAATTCATAGGGAACTAAAAAAAGAACGTGAATACCCAGAACAATTCTGAGCAAAATCTAAAAGTACATACAAATAAATGAAGGATTGAAGTAAGGTTAGGAATGCATGAATGATTAGTATTAGAAAATTTTTCAAAGTTACTACTTTAGAAGATCGAAGAAGGAAAAATACGAGTATTTTGAAAGATACTAAAATCTTATTTTATATGTTAACATCTATTCTCATTAAAATTTCTGGAACACTTCTACTGAAACTGACAAATCCAGGAGACAGAAACATCAGTATGTATATAGTTGAAATGACTGACATCATCAATCAAGTGAATCTAATGGACATTTATAGAATGTTTTATCCAACAACAACTTATACAAAATATTCACCAAAACACACCATGTTCTAGGCAATAGAACATCCTTTAAATAGAAATTATACTAACATTCCTCTTAGAACATATGAAATTAAACTAGAAATGAGTAACAGAAAGGTAGAAAATGTCAAATTATTTAGAGATTAAACAACATCTTTCAAAATAAAACATGGTGAAAGAAAAAGTCTCAAGAGAAATATTTCAAAATAAACGAGAATTAAAATACAACTTATTATAATTTCTGAGATGCAGTGAAAGCATTACTCAGAGGGAAATTTGTACCATTAATAGCATATATTAGAAAGAAGAAAGATCTAAATTTAATAATCTGTACTTACATCATAGGATACTAGGCAAAGAACAATTTAAATCCAAAGTGAGCAATAATAATAATAACAACAATAATGAAAATTAGAACAGAAATCAATGAAAATGAAAACCAGTAGAGAAAATCAGTAGAGAAAATCCTGGATGGATGAGTAGGTGGAATTCAGTAGATTTTTAGGGTAGTGAAACTATCTAAATGATACTGTAATGGTGAATTAGTGACATTATGCATTTTTAAGTACCCACAGAACTTGATATCACAATGATTACACCCTAATGTAAACTAGGGACTGTAGTTGATAATAAAATACCAATATCATTTCATTAATTGTAAAAATTGTACCACACCAATTTTAAATAGGGGCAGTAGCATGGAGGGTGGTGGTATATACAGAGGCAGTGTACTTCCTGCTTAAATTTTCTTTAAACCTAAAATACTAAAAAATAAAGACTTTTAATGAAAAAGACTTTTAGCAAAACAGAAATTCAAGGACACCTTAAGATTATTATACAAGTAATGTAAAGATGAAAGTTAAGAAGTACTCATTGAAATATTTAGAAGACCTGTTGAAAAACTATAAAACATCAAAGAAAAAATTGAAGAAATAAACAAAAAGATATCCTAGTTTGTGGATTGAAGAATTAACATTGTTAGAATTTCCATATTACCCAAAGTGATCTACATATTCAATGCAATTCCTACCCAAATTCGAATGCATTTTTCATAGGAATAAAGTAAACAATAGTAAGATTCATATGGGACCACCAAACACTCCAAACAGCAAAAGCAATCTTGAGCAGAAAGAACAAAGCTGGAGGCATCAGTCTACCTGTCTTCAAAATCTACTACACGCTGTAATAATCAAAATAGCATGATTCTGGCATAAAAACATACGCACAGACCAGTGGAACAAAATAATCCTCATATAATCCTACTAATGTACAGTCAGTTAATTTTTTGACAAAGATGCCAAGAACACACAAAAGGGGAAAGGATAGTCTCTGAAAAAATAAGTGGTGTTGAGAAAACTGGATATCCACATTTACAAGAATGAAATTCGTTCCTCATCTCACACCATATATAAAAATCCACATAAAATGGACATAAGACCTGAAACTAAAATTACTACAAAATAATATAGGAAAAAATCTCCATAACATTGATCTGGGCAATAATTTTTTGTAAGCTATGACTCCAAAAGCACAGGCAACAAATGTGAAAAAAGACAAATGAGATTGATTTCATCAAACAGGAAAGCGTTTGCACTGCAAAGAAAACAACAGTTGAAGGATAACCTACAAAATGGCAGAACAGGCAGGGCATGGTGGCTCATGCCTGTAATCCCAGCACTTTGGGAGGCTAAGGCGGGCGAATCACTTGAGATCAAGAGTTTGAGACCAGCCTGACAACATGGTGAAACCCAATCTCTACTAAAAATACAAAAATTAGACAGGCATAGTGGCACACGCCTGTAATCCCAGCTACTCAGGAGGCTGAGGCAGGAGAATGCTTGAACCTGGGAGATGGAGGTTGCAGTGAGCCAAGATTGTGCCACTTCACTCCAGCCTAGATGACAGAGTGATGACTCCCATCTCAAAAAAAAAAAAAAAGAATGGCAGAATATATTTGCCAACAATACAGCTGACAAGGCATGCATTTCTAGAATATATAAAGAACTAAAACAATTCAATAGCAAGAAAACAACCCGATGAGAAAATGGGCAAAGGTTTTGAATAGACATTTCTCAAGAGAAGACATACAAGTGACCAAGAGGTGTATGAAAAAATATTCAACATCGTTAGTCATCAGAAAAATAAAAACTAAAACCACAATTATATATGACTTTCCACCTGTTAGGTTGACTATTATCAAGAAGACAAATGGTAAGTATTGGAGAGGATGTGGAGAAAAGGAAACCCTTATATGGTGTTGGAATGTAAATTAGTATAGCCATTGTAGAAAACAGTATGGAGATTCCCCCAAAAATTAAAAATAGAACTATCATATGTTTCAGCAATCCCACTACTGGGTATGTTTCCAGAGGAAATGAAATCAGTATATCATCAAGATATCTGCACTCACATGTTCATTGCAACATTTTCCACAATAGCCAAGATATTGATTTGACCTAAGTGTCTGTCAACTGGTGAATGCATAAAGACAATGTAGTATCTATACAGAATGAGATATTATACAGCCTTACAAAAGAAGGAAATCCTGCCATTTGCAACAACATAGAAACCTCATGGGAACATTGTATTAAGTGAAATAAGGAAGGCACAGAAAGAAAAATATGCATGATCTCATATGTAGAATCTAAAAATGTTGAATTCATAGAAACAGAGAATAGAATGATGGTTACCAGAGCTGGGAAATATTGTTGGGGAGTTTTTGGTCAAAGGATAGAAATTTTAAGTTAGATAGAAGGAATTAGTTCAAGAGATCTATTCTATAACATGATGATTATAGTTAATAACCATGTGTTATGTTCTTGAAAAATGCTAGCAGAGTACTTATAAATACTCCTAACTCATAAAATAAGTATGTGAGGTAATGCATATGTTAATTATTAGGTTGGTGCAAAAGTAATTGTGATTTTTGCCATTAAAAGCGGTTTCTTTTGCACCAAACTTAGCTCAATTTAGCCATTTCAGTGTACACGTATTTCAAAACATCAAGTTGTACATGACAAATACATAATTTTTATATAATTTTTATCTATCAATCAAATTTTATAAATCATTGTTCACATAAGTAAACATAGTCACTGACTATGTTATAGTATGTAAATATATTGCAAAATTATTCCGACTTTAAAAATGTGAAAATGTAGAGGGCAGTACAAATTACAGAGAAATTCGGGAGATATAATTTACAGAACTCATTTTCTGACTGTGGAGGAAAGAATGGAATTTATGATGTTGCTTAGATCTCTGCCTTGGTCTGAGTTGAACAGGTAAAGAGTGGTAAATACGCTGAGTCTCAACCTGGACCTACTTCTTTCTTTCTTTCTTTCTTTTTTTTTTTTTGAGATGGAGTCTTGCTATGTCACCCAGGCCGGAGTGCAGTGGCATAATCTTGCCTCACTGAAACCTCTCCTGCCTCAGCCTCCTGAGTAGCTGGGATTACAGAGTCCCACCATCACACCCAGCTAATTTTTATATTTTTAGTAGAGATGGGGTTTCACCATGTTGGCCAGGCTGGTCTTGAACTCCTGACCTCAGGTGATCCACCCACTTCGGCCTCCCAAAGTTCTGGGATTACATGCATGAGCCACTGCTCCTGGCCAATTATTTCAAAGTTTGTCTGGGTCAGAGATGTCCATGAAACACTCGCATATATGATTCTTGAATTAGAATGATTTTGGAGTAGATCTGTACTAAAGATAGAGATACTGGAAGCTATTGGATTTAATTAAATCACCCAAAGAAAGTGAGAAGATTTGTGTCCAGAGAAGTAAAAGGAAAGCCAGGAGAAAACCATCTAATGAATTCCACAGGAAGACAGAGTTTTAAAAAGAGAGTATTTAACAGAAGTTAAGGATGATCAGACTGAAAGTGAATATTGAAGGTGGTGGCAGGTACTTCGTAAGTTACTCTGCACAAGTCTATGTTGATGGAATTTTAGCATTGGAATACTGGTTGTCATAGAGTAATGTATGATCATTTGTCCTGAAAATATTTTTGTAAGACTATTAATCTCACCATACTTCTTAGGGCCTTTAATATGCTAGTGTATATCATGAATCTTTTATATAGGTATCTCAAACTTACATGATCTGGGCATTCTGCTTTTATTTGAACATGTCTTAGGATGCAAACAAAAAATTAGAAAAAACCTACACAACGGTTTTGAAAAAGAAAAAATTAAAGAAGACTGTGATATGACTCAGTATTCCCAGTTATATTCTAGGTTTCTTAATGGATATGTCAGATGGCTCTAAGCTCATAGAAATTTCTGCCCATATTGAAATCTGAGTGATTTTTCAAATTTTATATTTTTTCACAGGATGCTAGACATGCAGCTGAAGAAGAGATTTATACCAACTTAAACCAGAAGATTGACCAGTTCCTACAGCTGGCAGACTATGACTGGATGACTGGAGATTTGGGCAACAAAGCTAGTGATTACCTGGTAGACCTCATTGCCTTTCTTCGTAGCACCTTTGCTGTATTCACACACCTTCCTGTAAGTGACAGTTGCTCTTACATTGTCCTTTACCTATAAGAAGGTTTCCTTATAATTTAGTTTGGTGAAAGATGTTAGTTTCTGCTGTAACTACCCAGGAAGGTCTTCAGTATATAGAAGATCATGCTATATTTATTAACCTTTAATGATATTTAGAGGCTACTTCCATCATTTTTTCATTGACCTTTGCATTTTTTTCATTCTAAAAATGGTTCCTGGTATTATGTCTGCTTATCTTCCTATGATGTTCAAAGTTATTAGTAGAAAGACAATATAAAAGCCTTGGTAGAATTAAAAAAAGAAACTTTGTTAGAATTATAGGTATGTATATTTTAGTCTTAGAATATTCTTCAATTTTTTTATATAAACTGAAATTCTGTGATGAAATGCTCCATCTTTTTTATCTAATTTGTCTATCTTTTCTCTGTTTTCTTAAGCATATTAATTATAGACATTCAAAATCATTCTTTACTACTTCTTATATATATTATACATACATATTTGTGGATTTTTTTTCTCTTGGTTTTCAATGATATGGTCCTGTCTCTTTCTAATATTTTTTGGTTGTTATTGGACATTGTGTAAAATATGTAGAGATTCCAGGTGGTCATGTTTTCCTTTGCTAAGTAAATAGAATGGGCAGGTGGGTTGTGGTTTGAAGCTGACCACCTTAGAACCATCATGGACTGATTGGGGTTAATATTGGGTTGCAATTGTAGTGTACTTTGTTTGCCCTTGTTGGTAGGATATGGCTCTGCAGAGCTTTTAAAAAATGCCTGACATGTCATTGTCTTTTTAGCACCAAAGAGGACTATAGAAATTCCTGCTCTTCACAGAAACCTTGTCTGTTCAGCCTCCTGTATTCTTTGGTTTTAGAATCTGGCAAATGTCTTCAGAAGGAGACTTAGCAGTACCCAGTACCAGCAATTGCTGACAGGAAAGAAAGTGTTGGGGATTGCCAGTGTTAATTTACCGTCCCTAATGAGGTTTCAGTTCCTATGTGATCTGAATGTTTGTGTACCCCCCAAAATCATATGTTGAATCTAATAACCAGTGTGATTACATTAGGAGGTGAGGTCTTGGGAGGTGATAGATTATGACGGTAGAGCCTCACACATGGGATTAGTATACATATAAAAGAGACTTCAGAGAGCTGCCTTGTTCCTTGTGGCCTTGTGAGGATATGGGGATACAGAAAGAAGACTCCTTTTTTATTTTGCACTAGGAAATAGGCCTTCATCAGACACTGAATCTGCTGGTACCTTGATGTTGGACTTCCAAGCCTCCAGAACTGTGAGAATTCTTTTGTTTATAGGCTACAGTCTATGGGATTTTGTTACATTATTCTGAATGAACTAAGATAGTTCCCATCATTTTTAGGCATCCTTCTACTAGTGAGTCTTTTTCTCTGAAACACTGTGAAACTGAGAGAAATCTCCTTGCTTTTCAAAGATTTTGGCTTAAACCCTTATTTTCCTCAGTTGCTTAGCTTTAGAATTCAGTAAATATCTTGAGGGTAATACTAGTCCTGAAACCTCTAATTGTGTCAGTCTAGTCCATTGGAAGCAGCATAGATTCCATGTTTTTTTCACCCACTAGTAGATAGTCTCTGCCTGGTTTTAAGATTCTCAGTCTGTTGCCCTTGCCTACATTCCTCAAATACCCACAAGGAAAGCTGCAGATTTTCACCTCACCTTTAAAAGGTTCTGTCCTCTATGCAGGTTTATTCCCTTTAGTCTTCATTGCTTCACAGCACCTGATACCTTTTAATATGTTTTTTCTGCATGTTTTACTTCCTCTACTGGTTGTTCCTAGTGGGAGCATTTACCTGCAGAAAAATATGTCATTTTATCTAGCTTCATCCTGATACCAAAGCCAGACAAAAAGAGCACACACAAAAAAACTATGAGTTAATCTCACAATTATGGATAGAAATAAAACAAATAAAATTTTAGCAAGTTAATTCCAAGTGTTTTAAGAAAGTAATTTTGGACTAGTGTGTAGGATTTATTCCAGAAATGCAAGGATGGTTTGATATTTTAGAAAATCGGTTAATATAATGTATCACATTACTAGGTGAAGGAGATAAAGTTGCTTGATGTATTCTAGAAAGACATTTTATTACATCCAGGCTACATTCTTGATTTAAAAACAAAGTTTACTAAATTCCAAGCAGGATAATATTTCAATAACATAAAAAAGAACATCTATTTGAAATTTAGTAGATAGATTTAACAGTAGAACAATAAAACATTTATTTTCATTGACATCAGGAATTGGGTGAAGATGCTTCTCACCAACACTTTAGAAGTTTTATCAAATAAACGTAAAAAAAGAATAAATTACATTGTAATGAGCCATGCATGTCTTAGTCCATTCCTGCTCCCATAACAAGATACTTTAGACTGAGAAATTTATAAACAACAGAAATTTGTTTCTCATAGTGCTGGAGGCTGAAAATTCCAATATTAAGATGTCAGCAGATTCAGTGTCTGACGAAGTCCTGTTATTCATAAATGGCACCTCTGTATCCTTACATGGCAGAGAAGGCAAAAAGGACAAACTCACTCCCACAATCCCTTCTATATGGGCACTAATCCAATTAATGAGTGATGTAATCACTTCTGAAAAGCCCTTCCTGACAAAATGTAAAAATTAAAATAATATATAAAAGTTGCATTGGGGATTAAATTGCAATATGAATTTTGGCAAGGCTCAAACATTTCAAACCATAGCACATGCACATTATTATTCATAGGTTATTATTATCTAGATAGAACATACTAAAAATTCATTAAGACCAATAAGAATTTAGGTTAGATGGTTCACTTAGAAAACAAATAAACTTTGCTTATATTAGCAATGCCCACATAGAAAATATATTGTCAAAAGTGTCTTATTTACTACTGGGACATAGATATAATTTTTCTATGCAGCTACTCAGCAAGTAAATTTAGAAATAATATGACAACCTTACAGAGTAAAATAAAAGATACTTTCTTATGCACAAATATATATGGTATTCCAGGACGGGAATATTTCATTTTGTAGAAAGTTTTTTCAAATTTAGTCTAATTGCAGTAAGTACCAAGTAAATTTGTTTAGGCAGAAATCTTAATGAAATAATTCTGAAATTCATTTGTAAGCAAAAATGCACAATATTTGGTAAAAAAAGATAACATGAACATAATTTGTAACTCTATTAATAAGACATACATATTAAGCTTGTGTGGTATTTTTGACTATAAACTAGTCAGAAATCAGAAAATGGTAACATTCATTATTTGTGAGAAATATTTGTGGAAATAGGTATTTTTATACATTGCTGCTAGGGGTCTAAGTTATTATAGTCTTTTTGGAGATCAGTTTTTAAATATGCCTCAGAAACCCCTTAAAATGTGCTTACCTTTTTACTATGTAATTCCCCTTTTAGAATTTGAACTTAATGAAATAATCATGGTTGTATTATAATATTCAAATATAACTATATTTAATGCAATGTATTTTGTATAGAGAGGAGTTGGTACAAATTAAAAATCCAATAAACAAATTTGTTCACAAATTAAAGTATTGTATATTCATATAATGTGGTATCATTCATTCATTAAATTAATGTAAATTTGTATTTATTCATTAAAAATATGTTCACTATTTCTTAACTGGAAAAACAGATATGATCTTATTTTAATTAATACATATATACACTAATTAAATATCTATATTATATACAATGTAAGTCTAGAATTGTATACTCCGTGGTTTATCCTTATTTCTGTGTAGCTTTTAGGTTTTCCTTTTTGTTTGTGTTTTTAGAAAATGTTTTCTGAATTGAAACATCTGCTGCTTTTATAATGCTGGGGGTATGTGGAGGTGATATTTAGAATAATGTTTTCCATCTCAATAATTATTGTATTTAATTACTAATTTATATTTTAAAATTGCTTTTGCCAGCCCACCTGTCCCCATTTCATCATGCTGTCATATTTCAGCACCATACTTTGTACTCCTTACTTTAACCTCTAGGTCATTTAGAAGCAGTAATGTGGATCAAGCTGGTGCTTGTCTGAATTAAAGTGCATGCTTTTTCTACCTGTAGAGTTGTGAACTTTCTTGCAAGGCTATACTGTAAGTAACTAGTTGAGGTTTATTTCCCCCTCTTTTGTTTTTTCTAAACTGCCATTTTTACCTAAATACTGTAAAACAGCTCAGTGTGGATAGAGTTGATTCTACCACTCAGGCTTTAGAACCACTTACCATGGACCATTCAGAATCAAAGTAGGAAGTAACTGACAGGCTTAAGTCCTCAATATTGCTTCCATTGGTGCTGTATTTCTGTCTTGTCTATACTTTTCTGAAGCTACGCTTTTATAATTAATTGGATTCACCAACCATTATATTCTCTAGAATCAGATGACTTCTTAAACTACCCCACCTGGTTTTCCACAAAATAGATTGCCTAACATTTGTGTTTATGTTGCCCAGAATGCTAGATAATTTCCTCATGGAACCCCGTATTAGTCACAAAACAGCTGTGTCTAAGATTTGCCCTTGGGCATTATTAGAGAAAGAATGGGAGAGAAAAGAGTTCGTTTCTGAAAAAGAACCCAAATCATTTGTCTTTTACTTACTATAAATATTCTCTTTTCATATTTGAAATTCTCTGGCAGAAGTGGCTCTCTGTCAGAGAGGGATTGATCAATAGAAAAAATGTATATAGAGAGGACTGTTAGGCCGGGCTCGGTGGCTCACGCCTGTAATCCCAGCACTTTGGGAGGCCGAGACGGGCGGATCACGAGGTCAGCAGATCGAGACCGTCCTGGCTAACACGGTGAAACCCCGTCTCTACCAAAAAATACAAAAATCTAGCCGGGCGAGGTGGCGGGTGCCTGTAGTCCCAGCTACTCGGGAGGCTGAGGCAGGAGAATGGCGTAAACCCAGGAGGCGGAGCTTGCAGTGAGCTGAGATCCAGCCACTGCACTCCAGCCTGGGCGACAGAGCCA